ATTTTTTAAAACACTATAGAGACATTTATACAATAGTCATGAAAGTTTGATGAATATTGAATAAACTAGATGTTTTTATTTTAACTTAACGTTTGCCTCTAACATTTCAATGTTTTATACAAATTCTTTTTTTTTTGCACACAAAAACAGTGATATTTACAACCCTTCAATGACTACGGTAGCCTTCTTCGTGAATTTTAATCACACAATTTTTCTGTTGAAGTTATTCTAAAAGAAACACAATAATTATAATGCTTTGACAGTTTGAAATGTGTACCACAATAAAATATACACTTTGCAGTATGTTTTCAGTCAGTTCAATCACCGAGAACAGCTTGTGGTCGGTCTTGAAAATATCTAAATCATTATTTGACAAAGGCTTGTCTGTTCACTTATAACTGACGAACCGCTAGACCGATTGTTACCAAACTTGGCATGTATCATTAAGGCCCTCGAAAAGTGACTTAGGAGGAATGCAGTTCGGATCTGATTGTTTCTATGTTACTCTGGGCCAATATGCTCTTCTCTTGCATAAATTGGTATATTAAAATATACTGCAAAAAACTCCACACACAGACCATCAGTAGCAAATGTAAGTGTTTGCTAATTTACTTTTATAGGGTTTGTTTAAAGGTTTTCGCCCAAATCACCCAAAAGGCTATTTACGCTTAGCTGTCCATAATTTTAAATTTGCGGACTAAAGAGAAGGTAGCTAGACAAAAGTATCTTCGGAAAACCCTTGGGCTACTTTTGTTAGACCGAATAACGAGAGTTAACTGTTATTTTTATAGCGCACTTGTGTGTTTGCAGGAACAGGACTCGAACCACAAAACCTTGGATTTACACTGACAATTAGGTCGCACACAACTCTGTTACGAAGGAAGCTTTCCTTGTAAAATACTCGCTTCTTGAAAGAACTGTATAAAGTTAACGATATAACACAAATATCATGCTGTAATCATTAGTAAAATTCCTCCGGTGGTTCAATAGTAAGTTTACGGCCTTAAAATTCTAAATTCTGGGGTTCGATTCCCCGTGGTGGACAGAGTACATAGAGTCCGTTGTGTAGCTTTGTACTAAAACAAATAAAATCATTAGTACAGCAACCGCTTCCTGATAGAACTATTTAATATTAGCTGAATAACATCAATATCTTATCAGGCTCTAATTCTTAAAGTCTATTAATTATTAAAACAATCGACTTTCTGATAGATTTAGAAGTGATAGATTAAAAAGAAAGCAACTGGCCAATACCACCCAACATCAACTCTTAAATTACTCTAATCTGGTAGTGGGATTATCAGTTACATTAAAAAATTTGTTGGGCATGGCCTGGTAGTTAGGGCGTTCGACTCGCAATCTGCGGGTTAGAATTCTTGTCACCGAATATGCTCGCTCTTTCAGCCGTGGGGGCGTTATAAAGTTACGGTCAATCCCACTATTCGTTGGTAAAAGAGTAGCCCAAAGTTTGCGGTGGATAATACTAGCTACTTTCCCTCTAGTCTATCAGTGCTAAATTAGGGAGGACTAGCGTAGATAGCCCTCGTGTAGCTTTGCGCGTAATTCAAAACCAACCAAACCAAACAACTCTCCCACGGCCGAACGAGCGAAAATCATTATTTTACAAAATCCCTTTTTGTTTTTGTTTATTTGCTTAGAGCAAAACCACATCGGTCTACCTACCATGTCCACCACCGAGAATCGAACCACAAATTGCGATTCGTGCGTCTCAACCACCAGGCTGTTTATGTCAGACTTTTTTTTTTTGACAGAAAAATATAATATTAACGGTATAACATCAATATTTCACCAGTCTCTAACCATTTTTAAAACATGCACTTTTGGTAAAACTATGTAACATTAACGGATAAGCAATGTCATTGTCAAGGTTTAAATAGTGTAACATTTTATCAGGTTTACTGAGTAATCAAACGTGAAAAAACAACAAAAAAAAAACAAATTGGATATTTATAACTGAAAACAAATCTTGGCTTAATCTACATTATAATCAGAACTTTTGAAAGTGGAAGGATTTACACACACTACTATAACTAGTTGGTTTACAACTAAATATTGTAACCTATACTTTCACTGAGAAACATTTTTGTAAATAAATATATAATGTTCAGCAAAACCCACTATTACTTACAATAACTTTCTACTGATTAGGAACCTAGAAGCATTGAATAATTTACCTCCTGATTACTTATTGAATGTTTTTTAATACATTCATTGAAATTCAACTTTTGACTCAGTCTTGAGTGATCATTATTTCAAAGTGCTGACCAATATTTTTGTTTGATTGTTGTTAATCACAAAGCCACACAATGGGCTATCTGTGCTATGTCCACCGAGAGTATCGAAATCCGATTTTTAGCGTTATAAGCCCTCAAACTTATCGCTGAGCCACCGGGAGAAAAACTAGTCAACGCCAATTACCGCCAACGTTTGAACTGACCAACTCTTACCAGACCGAATAGTTGGATTTAACAGTTACTCTTACAAAGCACCCACGGCCACAAAATGTGGAGCGGGATATGCTTGTTGGCAGGAACTGGACTGGAACCACGGATATCAATTCCAAAGTCTTGCTAGCCACTAGGCTACGCTTTATCTTTGACGAATAGAAGCTCAAACACGTTTTGTGTTCAATGTAAGCATATGTGGCCAAGGTCGCTTTAGCTTTTAACTGCTTGTTTGTTTTGAAGTAAAGGCACATTAGGCTATGTGTTGTGTGAATCGCAGGAAATCGAATCCCGGATTCTAGCGTTGTAAGTTCGTACACTTACCGCTGTCCTGTGGGGGGACCGGCTTTTAATCATCCACGACTGAGCATTGGTTCATCATATTAAAATCAACTTGAATACTGCCGGTACGGTAACGCAGTAAGTATAAACTTTAAACAAAGTCAATTCTTAACTAAAATAGTACACAATAGACAAAGCAAATCGCTAGTCATGAGCGAATTGGAACGGTGAATAACATGAAGTATCAGAGACCAAAGGTCCAAGTTTCAAAGCACATTTAATTTTTATCTGTAAAATATAAAAAGACCGCCTGTATTCACCAAATGCTATTATTTGCCCCTGTAGAACGTCTTATTTTGTTGAACAAAAACGTTTACGGAAAAGCCGCTAAAAATTGTTTATCTCTCTCTATATATATAATCGTACTATTTGTTGTCTTTTGTATGTCCATGTAACTACTTTGCAGAGTGTGCATGGATCTTATTAGTTTCATGCGGGAGTACACACGCATTTTCAGTTATGCATATTGCGTTTTGCGGTTTTTACCACTACTTCATCTCCTAAAGATGGATCTTCACCAAATTTGGTATGGAGGTTCATTAGGTCATGGGTAGATACGTACAAATTTTAATTTTTGCAATTTGCGGTTTTTATGGGCGTTTTTGCGTTTTTTACCACTACTTCGCTCCCTGTACATAGATCTTCACCACATTTGGCATGAAGGTTTGTTGGGTCAATGCGGAGATACGTGCAAAATTGTAGTTTCACTTTTTTGGTTTTGCAGTTTTTATGGGCGTTTTTATGTTTTTTACAATTACATATAAGGGAAGTAACTTTTCA